ATGAAAATTATGCTTTGTTAAAAAAATCAAAGTGTAACAAGACATAATAATTATGATAAATTGTTCAAACGCATAATAAATTTGTAAAGTAACTAAATTTACCGTACTATTATAGAATTTACTATGCGCACATGTGCATTTTGGTTGAATATAATATATATTCCGATTGAATATATTCTGCAGATTAACTGGTAATTCCTTCAGATTTATTTCAACTGCGATACCGAAGTCGGATTTAAGATACAATAATGTGTAAATCAATATATATATCTATGCATGTATGAATATAATTCCTTGATCAGATTTTAGCATTAGCAGAATACCGATTCAGTTCTGTGGAAATCTTGATCATATTTTTATTATTGAGTATAGCGAGATAAAATTCCTTCAAAACTAACAGTATAATAATGTAAACGTCTTGAATTATCTGAACAAGTTACTACAATTATATATATATATATATATATATATATATATAATATATAAATAATATATATATATATATATATATATATCTACATACTACTACAAAAATGTAAAAAGCAAAAGCATGTAATTTCTGACAAAATAAGATACGAAGCAGATATAGCCAATACATATACCTACTGATACTCATTTTGAGTATATATATATATATATATATATATATATATATATATACCTACAAAAATGGAAAAAATACATAAGTCGTCTTTCATTTGCCGATGGAATAATTAATTGCCAATCACCATAAGCAAACAATCATCTGCCGAAATGCTGATTCGCGTCTACAGAAGGGTTAACGCAATATTGCAAAATCTCAGCGATTACTCTGTTTCAAAATCTCAACATTTACATAAATATTCTTCTCTTACAATAATATGCAGATTTGTATTTACCGTCTCTAAATCTTTATTTGTACTGGCAATGACTATGTATTAAATTATCATTATATCATAATAAAAATTTATGAGATTAAATTTATTATCTAGTAATGTGAGATATATAATATATATATATATATATATATATATATATAGTTACTAAGATAGCTGTAGTACTACAGTGTACGACGATTTAATATGGTAGTACTACTAAGTACTACTATACTGCTACAGTGTACAACACAATTCACTGTGGTAGTACTATAAAGTATTTTGTAGTACTACGATGGGGCTACAACGTACTACGATTCGCAACGGTAATACTACAAAGTACTACGGTAGTGCTACAGGCAGTGGTGTTGTGCTAATATTTTTTTTTTGCCGGAACGCTAAATTTAAAATCCGGTTCATAAACCGGTTCAAAAAATTGATATATTTCGATAAGAACTCACAAATCTAATATATTGACTTTTTCTATAATTAACTTTATTATACACAGCTAGTCTATACATTAAATTGTACAAGTATGAGGGAATCATTGAGTACATAATTTATATTCTTCAATGACATTAATCATATTTATTCTGGTATTATTTGTATTCATTAATACCTACAGGTATTTATTATGATATAAAAGTACTCAAGATTTATTACAATACTTTATAAGACTTAACCTAATAATATGATAGATAACCTATTACCTATCATACTATATTATATTATTGTATATCATCGATAAATATCTATCATCTATCATACCGTGAGATATCTATACCGTCATTAACTTATTATATACCCTACATACCTTTTACTTCTTATAAATACTACTGTCTAATTTATATATTCTATTAATAATATGATAGATAACCTATTACCTATCATACTATACTATATTATTGTATATCATATATAGATATCTATCATACCGTGAGATATCTATACCGTCATTAACTTATTATATACCCTACATACCTTTTACTTCTTATAAATACTACTGTCTAATTTATATATTCTATTAATAATATGATAGATAACCTATTACCTATCATACTATACTATATTATTGTATATCATATATAGATATCTATTATCTATTATACCGTGAGATACCTATACCGTCATTAACTTATTATATACCCTACATACCATTTACTTCTACCGGGAATTGAACCCGGGACCTCCGCGTGGAAGTCGCGCACCTTAACCACTACCCTATCGGATACCCCCACTAATAATAATATGGGACGCACTGTTGTTTCCGCGGGTCATTTTCTAATTAATTAGGTAATTAATACTAAGGTGGCGCGACGACACGCGAAAAAAGACGGTTGATTGTAGCGTTACGGTGGTGTAGTGGATAAGGTCGTCGCGTGCCACGGGGCGGACCCGGGATCGAATCTCGGTAGGGTTAATGTAGCGTGTGAGGGAAATTATAGGTAATAGGATATATAGTAGATATAGGTTAGGTGTATTCGGTATACAATGTAGGGATTTGAGAGTATATAATGAAATAAAGCGTATGGTACAGATGTAAGGCGTGTAGTATAGAATGCAACGTATAGGCACACGTAAGGCTATAAAAATACATGAATAGGAAACATGAATATGATGTAGATGTTATTAAATAGGAACATGAATATGATGTAGATGTTAGCGTATAAGAAATGCGAATGAATGTAAGATTTAATTTATAAATATTATTTTTTCTATAAGAAGTTCATACACCTCAAATTGTTACTAAATTAAAAACGACTTTGATAAAACCAGTGGTTTTGTGCTAATATTGCCGGAACGCTAAAATTTAAAAACCGGTTCTAAAACCGGTTCTAAAACCATTTCATGTTTTTCCAGTTCCGTTCAAAAAGGAAAGAAACAAAAATTATTACAAAACTCATTTTGTGCACATATATGTATGTTTATTACAATAATAACATTTTATAAAAATTAGTTGAATAATAACTTATAAAATTTACTTATTAAATCATTTTCTGTATGTAGCGATGTTTTTATATTTTTTCTTGCCGGAACGCGTTCCGGCTCAAAAATGATTTGCCGGAACGACGTTCCGGCGCGTTCCGGCTCGACAACACCACTGGCTACAGGGTACTATGGTAGTATCATACGCTGTAGCACTACGTTGTACTTTGTAGTACTATCGTATTAAATCGTAGTACTACAAAGCACTACGTTAGTACTACAATAGTAACTCAAAGAACTACGACGTACTACGATAGTGCTACAAACTACAACAACGAACAATTATATATTATATGATAATCTTACAACGTATATTAGTTCTTGCCAAATTTATCTCAATATTTCTATATACCATCATAATATTACTTCAGTAATTATATTCATAATAAATCTATTATAAACTGACCTGTACGATATTCCAATAGGGTACAACTTTAGCCAGGCTCTCTGTCACTTCAGAGCAGGCTGATCCCAGCAGCATCACCATTCGAGTGCTCTTCTGGGTGTACAATGCATGGAAAAAGCGATCGACACCGACGCCGGGATCACACTGTAATTGAAATATAAAAAGTATAAAACATAATGTATTTTAAAATTTAAAGTGCGGTGCTTACAAAAATATTTGAGGAATAAAAATAATTGTTTTCCTCGTTTTTCCTCGAATATTTTTATACCGTACGGAAAGATCAAGCAATTTGACTGAAGGTACAACACCATGCAACCACTAGTTTTATAATATTTTTACTTTAAATTGATTGATTATATTCAATTAATAGAAACTGACTAATGATTATTAATGGTTGGTATAAATATTTTTAAATTTTATACGTAGTTCTAAATTTTTGACATAGTTCTAAATTTCAGACATGGTTCTAAATGTTAAGGTCCTAAATTTTAGACATGGTTCCAAATGTTAGACATCGTTCCAAATTTTAGATGTGGTTTGAAATTTTAGTGGTAGTTCTAAATGTTAGACGTGATTTTAATTGTTAGACATGGTTCTAAATTTTAGCCACAGTAGACATGGTTCGAAATGTTAGATATAGTTCAAAATTTTAGACATAGTTCTAAATTCAGTTCTAAATTTTAAATGTACGTTAATGAAAAATGACTTCCCATACCGTAATTAAACATTCGAGAAATAAAAATAATCGGTAATCAAAAATTGACGAAATATGAATAACAATTACTTTACATATGTTTAAATAATTTTAATAAATATTGTAAATTTCATCATTCATATTAAAATTAAAACACTTACGGCATGGCACCGATTTCAAAACAATCTACTGAACCGACTATAAACTTGATTTCAATGTGTATGCTATGCAATTTGTTTGATAAAAAATTGTGGTTATTGAAGGACATACATTTATAATATTAATTTATTTTTGATCATTTTATAAAGAATGGTGACTTTCTCTTTCTCTCGCATTTAGAATATGCCACTGATTAGTCAGTATATTTGTTCATTTTTGTGCTGCCATAATGGTTTGTTTTTCTATTATATTGTCTAATAATTCATTTGTAAAAATTAAAGTAAAATAATCTATTGGATGTCTTATATTGCTTGGTAATTGTTGTCGGGGTATTTGTTGATGTATGTCAAACTCGATTATTAAAGGAGAATCGGCATATTCGCTAATGTCTTTCCGCTCTTCATTTAATTTGTCGAACTTCTTTTTGTTGGTTGGATAATATCATCATCACATTCATCACTATCTTCGGTGCAAAGAGTAATTTTGTAAAAATTGTCTGTATGAATGTCTATTTGAAACTTATCTTCACTACTGCTTAATTCACAAAATTTACCAGTCGTTTTGCCATATTCAAAAGCGCTCGGTCGTTTTAAATATTAAAAAAAAACTATATAGCAAAGAAAAAGGCTAAAAATACTACTAAAATAACTTAAAATTATTTTCAAAATACAACACTGTTTATGTAATTTATTCAACTTTTCGATGCAAACTGAGTCATTGTTTATAAAATAGCCGGTGCCTCACAGAGTATGTTTGTCCACTCAGGTGGGCAGCCATCCCCAAGCAGTTAATATAATATGAGCGTATTAATTTAATTGAATTAATTTAATTTAATTAATTCAGTTTATTTAATTGAATATAATATTAGTGTATGATTTATAATATGATTTAATATAATATTAATATTCGACATGGTTCAAAATGTTAGGCACGGTTCTAAATTTTAGCCACAGTTTTAAATTTTAGACATGGTTGTAAATGTTAGATATAATTCGAAATGTTAGATATAGTTCTAAATTTTAGACATGGTTCTAAATTTTAGATATAGTTCTGAATTCAGTTCTAAAATTTAGTTATAGTTCTAAATTTTAAATGTGCATTAACGAAACATAACTTCCCATACCATAATTAAACATTTGAAAGATAAAAATAATCGGCAATAAAAAACTGACAATAGATTAATAACAATTACTTTAAATATGTTTGAATAATTATAATAAATATTGTAAATTTCATCATTCATATTAGATTGAATATAATATTAGTGCTTATATTTGGGCGACGACCTTGTTATTTATAACATAAACATAATAAAAATATTTAAAAGCTAAAAAACCTAAAACATATTTCCTATAAATTAATTTGTGTTTGTCGATTTTTGTATCTAAGTTACATTAATTCTGCACCTGTTTCCAACAATAAAATTTACACCGTTTCAACTTATCTCAACAAATGTTTCTCTGCCCTTTTGCTTCTTTTCACTAAATTTTTGTTGTGCCATCATGTTGAAATGATATCAATCCAATGGAAGTACATGAACGTTATGTTCCCGTTGAGATGTCAAATCAGTCACCTCCTGACGGCTCTTTTCAGACTTAAATCATGCAATTCTTCAGAGCCATTTTCGCGTGTGCCAAATGTATTATTCGCATAAACACGAACCAACACATGTGCCCGATAAACTTTCATTTTCGACTAAAAGCGAAACGAGCTACAGAAATGATTTTACGTTCTCGGGTTCAAAATAGGGATAGACGAAGAGTCGGAAGCAATTTTGGTATCAAAAAGTACAGAAATATAATAGAAAATAATTTTGTTCAAAATCTGAAAATTTTCAAATAAAATTAAGTACTCTGTGCAATAAAAACATTGCATCTTTGACGTTTTTATAAAAAAGATTTTACGCAAAATACAATGGATGTATCTATGCAGGGCCGGTCCTGGGATTCTCAGCGCCCGCATGCAATTTCATTTCTAGCGTCCCCCCCCCTTCCTTATTATATTAACTGCTTTAACAGTTTATCATTAAAATTATAAGAAGATTTACGTTATGTTTTTAAATACTTATTAATAACTCTGGGTTTAGTACACAAAAAATTATATAATATATAATATAAAATAATAATATAAAAGCACATTGATTTGATTTGGAATATCGTGGCGATTTGCGGGTTTTTATATTCACTACCAAAACTTCTAAATTCTTATTTTTAATCTGAACTTTTTAGGATATCCAAACATTTCAGTATGTTTATTATTGCTTGAAATAATATTTTTGAAAAATTTTACATTTATTTTGGAGATTTTATGCGATTTATTCTATTAAACAAATCATGAAAAGCAAAAAAAATTCGAGCCTTTTATTATTAATCATAACACTGGTGCTTTATGTTGGATTTTTTTATTTTGATTTTTCATTATTTGAAATATCCAAAATTGCATCTTAAATATTGCTCAAAAATTAGTAAAAAATGCAAAAAAATTATATTGAAAAAAAAAAACTATATTGAAAATTTCATTTCCGAATCTCGTTTTGGCACCCCCTAAGGCGTGCGCCCGCATTTTCTGCATGCATCGCATTCAAGGTAGGACCGGCCTTGTATCTATGCATATAAATTTTGAATAATTTAGTAATAATTATAGCTATTATTTGATACAGAACTTCAATAAGATTATAAAACATTTTAGTAGAACTTTACTAATTTTCTTATTTTGAAATTATTTTGAAAGCCATACGTTTTGGCGATACCCCTTGGATTTATTTAGCAGATCTAAAAAATGAAGAAAAACTATACAAAATATTATGAGAAATAAAATAAAAATAAATAGTCAAGTTAAAGGCACTTACAACATTTTGCACCCTAATAATAAGAATAAAAATTATAAAAAACGATCAAAACATATTTTGAATAAATTTTCTACCAATGGTAGAAGAGTCGGGTTAAAACATATGTATTATGTTTTTATGTGCAAATGTGTTCTGTCAGCCCATGATGGCATTCATTAAAATAATCTTTTAATTGTCAATTATTTGTATATTATTTAATATAATTAATCACAATCTCATGAAATAATTTGATAAAAAAATGCTGTTGTTTGAAATTGAAATAATTTTTTGTTTTGGCAAAAATAGTACCCATTAGTTGTTGCACTTCTAAATCTAATTAAATTATATTAATAAATCAATATATATTTATCATTTATTTTAAGTTGTCTAAAACTTGTAGTTTATTTATTATTAGCCCTCCGATTACCTCTAAAGAGAACCATTTGCGATAACAAGAATATGAAATACCAAAAATAGCAAATATGCAAAGAAGTATGTAGGCAATTTACTTAAAGGCTTCTCAAAGCAGAAATGTACTTCAAAAGTCAAATTGCCTACACTGTAAAAAAAACCTTTCGACATCTTAATTAAATGCCAAAAATCAATATTCAAACACCTCCTTATATTGTATCATTCGCCGAGTTGAAATATACCATTTTCTCGGAGAAATAAATCCTATCAAAATATTTAATGGTTCTATTATACTTATGGCATTATATTAAATTTACAATGACAGAGTAGGTTTCTGTTGGTTTCACGAAAGTGTATAGCTGCTTGTTGTTTGCCCATGTCAAAGGAAGATCAGGCGAACGTCATTTATAAATCGTTTTTTCCTAGAAGAATACAAATGATGGTCGGGCCACAAGGGTTTTCAGCATTAATAAGTTTACGTCAGCGATGATAACATTATTTATAGCTTTATTTATGGGCGAATATTTTTTTGAAAAAGTAATATAACTTTTTATACTTAGGGTAATGGATATAACAATTTTATTAGGTTAAAATTGATGAATTAGAATAAATTCAAATAAAAACTAATGCGGCGTGGCATTGTGCCTTAAGGTACAATGCCACGCTCTTAATATTCGAGTAATAAAAATAATGATCAACAAAAATTTACCTTTGATTTATAACAATTGTTTTGAAAATAGGATCAGCACTGAATCAATCATACATTATTTTTGTTTTAGCATTCAATAAATTAAATAATTAAATTAAACTTAATAAAATTGTTATTGAAACTATTTAGTTTAAATGACGCGAATCGTAAATAAAACTTTGCATACAAAGAGTATGTCGTTCGTGCGTCGAGCGACAATAGTATTGTTTATGTAACTGAAGCTGCGCAAAAACATATTCTACTATTTAGTTTATAAGTTAAAAAACAATTATAATAACATTGAATAAATATTATTTGAATGTTACACAATCACAACAACAGTCAAAAATGCAATGCTCACTTAT